AAAAAATTAAAATCTTCATAATTTTCAACACTAATTTTAAACCAAAAGAAGTCTGTTTGGCGGACTTTGTCTGTTGGGTGGGAGGAAAAGCTGCTTGCAGAGCTGGTCTGTTTGGCAAAAATCCCTTACACGGGAGGTCTGTTAGGTGGGAGGCCAATGTATACCAATACACACTCATACAGTAATTGCTGAAGCAATCACAGGGTGATATTGTCTTGCGCATGGAAGCATTACAAAAATGAGTATCTCTCTATAAGCCAGATGTCAATATTCTTGCTTCTGTCATTGTAGAGAGGGATCTTTCACAGCTTCTTTCCGGCAAATAATGTTATAAAAATGAAGGAAAATCATCTCAAAAAGCTCATATTTCTCACATACAAGCAAAGTTACATGAGGCTTCTTTGACCTTTTTGGCTCTGTACATCACACTGCATAGGGTTTCAAATCATTGGATTCTGGCGAAGATGCTCATCCTGTTATAGAGACCAGAGAAAAATGTCACGAAATGTCAGGCATGCTAAGTAAGAAACCTTATTCATGATGAAGCATCCTCTTGGGAAGCTTTGCAATGATGGGGTGCTAATTGTTATTTCAAGGGCCTATAATGGTACATGCAGAAAACAAGGAAGCAAACAAATGTCATGAGAGTATACAGATCCTAATTAATTTCAAGAGCTGTGTGTGGATACAATGGAGAGAAACATGCAATGACTAGTGAGGTAGCCAATCTATATACCATCATCAAACCAGATTTATCCTGTGATAATGCTTTCCAGTGGGGGTTATATTCTTTGAAAAATTTTCTGAATGATGCAAAAGTATACTTTGCTTATAAAAAATACAACTGAATTCACTCATCTCATGTTTTCCACCTTAACTTCATATTAAGCAATGAAAAAAGGTACAATTACAGGAAACCCAGATATTTTGTCTTCGACAAGCTTCATTGTGTGAGTTTGAATTTTCTTAAAGTAAGCTGAGACCAATATTTTATCAAAGTATGATGCTGATTTTTGCATCTGGTGTATCAAAAAGCTCAATGCTTGGAATGAAACTAATAAATGGATATTTATGCTTCAATAAATGGATAAAAATATTGAATTCAAAACAGGAAGGGGGAGATAAGCAAATTTGAATCACAAAAATGCCTGATAATAGCTCTCATGGTTATATAATGGCCACCCAAATATATTATAATGACAAAGCTGGGTGAGGAAACCTTTTTTAATACAGCATCACCTGATGTTTTCCATATTGTCAAAAGCATCATGAGTTCATGACACATGTTCCAGCCAATTGATAATTATTGTGAGGAACTTTTATAAAAAAAAGTTGACTTGCAAAATCTGATGGCTGCAAAACCCAATTAACATTCTTGGATAAACAACATTTTGCAGCTTTCAATTGATATTCCTAAAATGGTTACAGTTTAAATCATCATTTCCAATGAAGAAGAGCTTTTCTCTTTTCAACTCCAAATAATCTTTCAATAATAAGGGGTACAAATGAAATATAAATCATGCAAGAAAAAGGCATGCATATCTTTCATGCATTTTATAATATCACAAAATTGCATAAATAAAACCTTTCTATAATGTGAGCCAGGAAAATAACTGGCATCCCACTCAAGAATTCTTTGCGTCTGGCCACGTCAGACGTAAAAACCTGGCTTCTTGCATTCTTCTCTTCTTCTAATTTTACTCTTCGTGGGGGGATCTCACGAGGATCCACGACGGGAGGGGATCTTTTTCACGTCCGGGATCATCTACACGTGGGAACACGACGCTGCTGGGAACTGCGTGTTGCGAGGTTAAGGGTGAACAACGTGCATGTACGGGAACCTATATATACAGCATTTGCGTATTTGTCCTACAATTTTTTTATATATCTTGATTCTCTGTCTGCAAACACTGTTGCTATGTTCATAGGCGGAAAAGTATATGGAGCAGCGTTTTGTCGCACTTGGACAAGTTTCCAGGAGAGACTGGAATTGGGTTTCCAGGCGAGATTTTGTCCTGGATTTCTGTGGGCTTTTTGAGAGGAACTTTGCAGATGATGAGGTGAGGGGATGATTCGTTTAAAATGGAACTATTCCTGACTTGGGACAATATTTATGCGAAAAACAATCATAATTCAATAACAGCTTTCTTTCACAGAGTGCAAAAGTCACTTGATATAAAACCAGTCACATGTTACCATATTTACTCAAGTACAACTTGCAAATTTTTTCCTGAATTTCAGAAGAAAAAAAGGAGTGCGCGTTATAAGCTGGTACACAATTTTCAAGAAGTTTTAGGAAGTTATGTGTGCATTGTACTTGATTATAATGGAGAAATTTTGAACAAATGTAACAAGAAAACATTTTTTTACTAAAAAGTTGAAAATTGATCAGATTTTTGGTCAATTCATGCCTAAAGTTAATTTCTGTTTTAATTTGAAAAATTTTGTGGTTGTAGATTCACTGAAAGTTGGGGTGTGTGTCTTACTTAGGGATAAGATTTTAGAAAATTTTCAACTGAAAAGCCCCCATGGGTGCCTTACTTGAGGGCGCGTGGTACTTGAGTAAATACGGTATTACAGGTATGAGTGATTATTGACAGTTGGAATTTTGTGGTTGCAGATAAACTACTTGGCAGCATAATGCATGTGTTGATTTGGTTTTTTTTCATCACCTGTTGGGAACTTGCAAGGTAGAAAGCAAATTTCTCTAAATCACAATTCTATATTTAAATTCCTGCTGGCTTCTGTGCTTCCAAAGGACCATAGATACACAACTTCAACAGTCAAGTTTCTGCAAGACAATGTCCCCAAAAAAAACTAGCCTCTTCAAATTTGGACAATTCCCACTAAAAAAAACCCATAGAAAGTCAAGAATAACCAAACTCCTGAAGCGCTTGCCTCATATAATTTCCCCTGCTGCTGAAACATTCAATTGCTTTTGCTGAAATAATTGAAACCTCATTCCACTTTATCAATGGTTTTTGAGAAGTTGGAATTGAATTGACTTCTGTTCTTGAAATTAGGACAGAATTAAAACCAAGTTTTCAGTATTTAGGAACCAGCCCATCCCAGGTTGATGGTTGTAAACTTTTATTCCAATTGAAACATTCATTTGTTGAACTCTGTGGAAGAGTTCTTGAGATTATATGAACTGAAGCCTGTGATATTTTTATGAATTTTTATTTTAAGTATATCTTTTTTAAATAATATTTTTTAAACTATATAAAAATGTCAGACATGTATATATATGCCTTTTTATAAATACCTAAAAATGTATAAGTACATATGCTTTTTTTTAAGATGTGCACAAGATTTCCTTTGAAGGAATTCAACAGTCTTTAATATGCAGAGGCACAGAAAACTGTTCTTTTACAGGTTTTCTATGTTTGTTAATTAGGTGGTTTTAAATGCATTATTAGCCATATTTTATCAGGGATTTTTGATCAAGGTGTTCACCGGTTTGTCAACTAAATATACTTGAACATTGAATAAAATATAAACAGAGATCCAAAACATTCTTCCTGAATATTCCTTTCAACACAATTCAAATTGGTAAAATGTTGCTCATGAACATCCATCATGTATTTATAGCAGAAAAAATTCCCTTCTTCAATCTTTTCTTAATGATTTTGAAATAATAAAAAATTACCCAAGTTAATGAAAAAGAACAGATGTTCGAAAAATTCGGATCTCCAGAGTAATTATTCATAAATATATAAGAGACCCGTCATTGTTCCGGAATTTCCATCATTAATTTTTTTCATTGATTCGTCACGCATAATGTGTTACATTCAATGCCTGAAATATTCTGGAACTTTATTAACAGCTTATTGTTCAAGGAAACCCAACTTTTCAGTAAGAAAGCTCCCTTTCTAATGCAGTAAATAATTCCGAGAAGGCAACTGCGCCAGTTCCATAGAATGTTATTACCAAGCAGCTAGATAATATTTACAATATTCTTTTTTTTTATTGAATAAACTTTGTGGGGGGGGGGCGTTTTCTGCTTTTCAGTCCCAAATATTCACACCAGCTTTTCTCAAGGTGCTTCATCATAATTTTTTAAAAAGCTTGAGAAAGAAAATTTACTTGGGTGAGTCCAGTACAGTATTGTAGTCACCTGTTTCAAGAACTGTTTGTTCTGGAGGAACAAACTATAAAGGAAAAAGCAGGATGCTTCCAAGAAAATTGACTTCTTCCAGTCCTGGCTGTTTGCCAGTAATTCATCTTCTCTTTGAAGTGAATCACATGAGTCTGCAGAGCATCTGGTGACTTCTTGGAATGAGTACTTTTTTCAGATAATAGGTTTACTTATGACATGGTTGCTCAAAGGAATAAGAGGCTTTTATTTGAAAAGTCCCAAGACTTTTCTTTTTGCAGGAAGTATTGGCAAGGATCCCTCCACTTCTTCCAGTTGAGACCAGACACTCTGGTGCCATGACAGTGATCATATAATGGCTCCCTTTTCCCCCTGGCGCACAGATGTGTACAGTATACAGGGTGTGTGAAAAAATGATAAATTTTCAAAACCTATGCATCAATTTGTTTCTTCATTCTTTCAGGACATATTACAGATGTAATTACTACAAAGATAAGTGTCAAATTAAATAATTTAAAATGATATGAAATGAATGCAAATTTGGGATCTAGAGTTTCTTTCAACCATGGTTTGGGAAGAGCATTGAGGAAGTCCTTTACTGAAAATTTATAAATTGCCAATCTCATTTATATACCAAAACTGAAAATATCAATTAGTTTTTCAGATGAAGTATTATCCCTTCGAAATATATTTTGGTGAGATTCAATATTTCCCTTATTCAATCACAGGATTAAAAGAAATCGAAATTCGAAATTCTTCCTACAATTTTCAGAAAAATTTCCGAAAGAAAATGAACCCAAAACCATCAAACAAAAGATTCCTTTAGTCAAGTTCATCATCACTGTTTTTTTAAATTTTCTGCCAGTAGAACCACTGAGGCAATGTAATAAGTTTACACTTTTAGGAAATTGACAATTATTTTATTTAATATATGTAACAAAATGCATATGCAATTTTATGATTATCTTGCATTTTAGAATGCTTACCTGGCATTCCAAAATTTGGTACATGCATGAACTCATAAATAGCTGATGCACATGATAGGTTCTCTTGAAATTTTCATGGGTTGTGTGCTCATAATTATTCAGGTGGACTCTCTAGATTAATACTGTCTGCAACAATTTGATCTGCCTCATTTTTTTTCAGTCTCAAAGGGTTCTCTATACATCCATGTTGTAGGGGAGAAACAAGAAGAGGAAATTTATGAAGGTTCCCTTGCATATCACTTGACAATGCGTACTACAATTTCTTCAACTTTTATTTAATTTAATTGTACAATCAGAGGCCAGGAATTGCATTAGAATATTTTGGAATTTTCTGGTAAAATTCCCCTGACTAGACAAATCCAAGAAAATTATAAAAGCTCTTTCTTATTTTGATTGTACTGTATAAGCAGCCTGTCCTGAACCCTTGAAGGCCAATCCTTTCCAAGGTGACCCCTTCAAGTGATCCCTTGAATCTGTGTTCTTGGCCTCAAAAGACTGATTATCTGTGTTTTTATTTCCTTTTGTGAGAAATCATGCTCACAAATGCTGTAGGGACTCACCATAGCAAAATCTTGCAACAATTTTTTTCTTATGGGGCTGTGTATTTTTTTGGTACAGAGATTCCAGTGCATCAGGAATTTTTCAAAAGTGGATTCCTACACAAAAGTTCTATTGCATGAGTATTCTATTGTGCACTGTATAAGTATACCCAGCAGAGTTTTGGATCAATATATATACCCCTCCCAAGTCCTTCTCCTGTGCATCCCTTCTTATTTGTGCTGTTCATTCAACCCACCCTGTAGACAGAGGGGCTCAACTGCATGCAGGCTTGGGCTTCCCTGGGTGACCCACTTTCCTGCTCCTCTCCTCTGACTCTGTTCCTGAACACTGTCAGCTGTTGCCAAGCGGGTTCTATGCACCATTTCCAGGGGTAAGATATCCTTCATATTGCATCAGGCAGGAAGTGGAAATGGATGAGCCATACAATATACAGTATATCTTTCTGTCTGTAAGTTTACCACGCAACTTTATATAAGGAGTACGGCTTCCTTATAAATAAGCGTCGCTGAAAGTCATAAACGTTTGAGTACTGCTTCCCGGACATGAGATAAGTCGGGGGGATTTTATGTGGATTTGAAGACTGCTGGTTAGTGTGACTAAAGGAGGGAATCAAAAAGAATGGATAACTTCATCGCGGAAACATGCGTGAAAATTCGGAAGCCTATTTTTGCATAGCCGATGAATGTTAGGTTTATTTAATTAAAGTAGAGCGTATTTCGGAATTTCTGTTTATTGACTCCGATCCTCCGCAGGCAACATTTGAACGGTGATAAAAATATATCGTATTTCTATTTATTTTGGTAGGATTCGAAATTTGATTCGAAGTTCGCATGGAATAATTTTTCTGTTGGATGAGTGAGATGAAAAAATTTCCACTTTACCGGAGATGGTAACAGAGGATTTCAAGCTATAGATCATGGGAGGAGGGAATATTTCCGACGTTGAAGCGACACCTACAGTTTTGAAACAGAAATTTAGTTCCCGGTCCATGCATGCTTGCCTGATATTTTAAACCACTTCCATGACTGTTGGGGAACCTGAACTGGGGCCCAGGGACTCAGGTCCCAGGACCTGAATTCTGGTCCCGTTTTCCTTCAGGCATCCATTCCCCGGATGCACATTTGTTCTGCCAATCACAGGCAAGGGAAAAAAGTACAGTGCTTTCTCAGGTCAGCTGACAGAAGCACTGGGGCTAAATCCTATAAAAACCCAGCACTCTTTCACTCCCAATAATCAGTCCTCAAAATTAGCTCTTACAGTAAACTCCCTTGAAACATTCCAACCCCAATTCATCTGCTTGAATTCGTGCATTGCATTATTGTGCCCTAAATTTGTGTGCACAAATCTATTGTTTTTTATCAAATGTGTGTTGCATCATTGCATTCATTGTGATTCATCATTTTTTGTATTGTGTTGCTTGTGATTTATTGTGGACTGTGATTAAACCAGACACAACTAGGTATATGTGATTAAGGTACCCCCTTAATTACATATTCCTGGCTGCAAACCAGCTGATTGCCCTGCCTTATTATTTCCCACCTTTTCTTCCCATCCGCTATGGTTCAATTATTTATGTTGGATTAATTAATTCCTCAACAATGACCTAAGAAATTCATGCAGGACAGTACAGTACAGTGCATGATATAAATTATTTTAGACAAAAGATAATTTATTGAATTTATTTACTGTATTGAGATTTGAAATGCAAAATGTTTGGAGCATGTAATTTCAAAAAATGTAAACTGTAAATGATTTCAAAACTAAACACAGTAGTGTATGTGTGATTTTAAAAAAGGTGTACAGTATACAGAGTATGATATGCACTATATATGATTTCAAAAGGATGTACAGTATATGTATGAGGCTTTCAAAGGTATTTAAAACATGCATGATATCAAATGTTTCAATTCAGCTTATCTGCTGGAAAAAATCATCCTTTATCCAGAAAATTGATACTGTAGTTAAAATACTTTAAAAAAATGTCCTGGAGTAATAATTGTTCTCTATACAAGACCCAATTTCAAGATGCACTTTTAAGTCAGTACCAAACTGTATTACAAATTTTGTTGGAGCCAGCAGGCACAATACAAAATATTTAGGTGTATTGATAAAAAATCAAAAGTCAGACTGATGGAATACCATTTTACATACTGAGTGGCTGAAGGAGTTAAGTGTGCTATAGGCACAATAGGTACAGTATATTAGTATCCTCCAACTTGTGCAAAATATTTGCAATTAGCTTCGAACAAATTTTTGAAGGTTTAGTTGAAACTGTCCCACAGAGAGATTACTAAAGGAAATATAATTTATCTTTGGTGTGATGTAGCACCTGCTGGTGCCATCTTTGAGTCAGGACAGTCATTTACATCAAAGGAATCTTCATGAAAAAGGTCCATCAGCATTTCTTCTTTGGTAATATTTATTAGAAGAGAATTTAGAATGTCTACACTTCAGAAATTGTTTTTCAAAATGACTTTTGAATCATGCATCCAGGAAAAAAGAATAAAATGAAAATAAAGTCTAAAATAAAACAAGGATCTGTGAATAGAACAAAGTGTATTTGCGCACAAAGCCAGTCATGTTTGTCCACTTGACTTCAATGTTGTCATCATGGCAGGTTCAGACAGTCTTCAGTCAAAAATAATTTCCAACAAGGCACAAATGTGTGCTGAGAGTAACACATGGTAACAAGTCAAATGCAAAAAGCAAACAAACAAAAATCAAATGGAAACATGTTTCTTGCATCAAGCAGCATATATAATGACAACTACACAAATGTTGCATCAAAATCACGCTCTTCCTTTTTTTGTAAGTTAGATTCATTGAACTCTCTTTGCAAATGCTCCTTTGTCCCCTTTCTTTTTTGATTGAAACTCCTTGAACCAATATTGGGGTCTAAAGTCGATTTTCAGGTCACAATAATGAGGTCAAAAGTATGTTCAGTGTACCTGTCTTATTCATAAATGTGATTCCATCTTAGAGAGGAGCTGATGTAAACTGAAGTGACTCCTAAATTTGACTCAAGCAGCATAATCCTGAATATGCAATACAGTACATATAGACATTTAACATGAGCTTACAAATTGGAAGCAACAGGACATACTTTTTTTTTTAGAAAAAGTGTGTTGGAGTGACATCTGACAAAAATAGGGGTTAGCTGAATTTGCATTAATCCTTGGGCAAGGCACTGTCACTCTTGCCCCTGGAGTAGGCCTTCAGGCCTCCAGCCTTGTTACCCAGCATTCTGTCTAACAAGGACTGCTTGCATTTCTTGCGCTGGGAATGCACTTCTCTGCACAGCTCTTGGAAGACCTCAGCCACTTCCACAACCTGCTCAGAAGCTGCCACTTCTGCAAACACACAGTCACAGTCCTTGGCCAAAATCTCCCCTGGGAAATAAAATTCAAGTAGAAGCTATTTTAATGTTCATTGAATCAGTCCAAGTGTTGTATTTGCAGATGCTTCCTCAAATGAATATAGAAGGGACAGAAAGAGCTTGTCAACCCTTTTTCTTGCCAAGATAGTTTAATATTTTATTTTTTCCCATTATGATTACAATTGAACTGAGCAAGTTTTTGCTACATTTATTGGAAGACAAAAGACATATACCACAGTTATTATGCCTGCACTTTTGTATTTTACACATTGAATTCCAGCCAATTATTTACAGAGGAATGGTCATGCATTTTTCATTTCCCCTTTGTTGCCAAATTCTTGGAGGAATGTGTATAGTTTTAATTCTTTTTTTTACAGTGTAATGCTTTGTTGGGATAAGAATATTGGAACACTTTTCAAAAAATAAAATATACTACAATCAGCCAGGCTGCAGCTGGGTTGCTTTACACCCTAGTGTAAGGTTGATGTATTCAGCAAGAAACAAGATTTCACAATACAACCAATCATGGGTGACTTTTTTGACATCTTTTGTATGAGACTGCCAAAACAAGACTGCTATGATGTCAAAAAAAGGAGTTTTGAAACAAGAAAAGTCTCTCTGGTTCATTTTGTCCTTGAGGACTGAATTATCCAAAAAACCCAACAATAGCAGAAAAAACTGTGGGAACTTGAGGTCAAACTTGGTACCAAAAGATTCCTGAAGGATTCGGATTCTTTTCAAACCTGAGAAGTTTCATTCTTCTTAATTTATATTTCTTATTTCCCAAAATGCTTGTCCTGATCTTGCTGTTGGGAAAAATTAGTTTTGCTTGTGCCTGAATGGTGTCATTCAGAATTGGCACTAATCTTTCTTTCCCGCTTGAAAACATTCCAGATGAGCCAGTGAACTAAGTCCAGGCTCAATAAGGACAAAATTAGATAATACTTTTTTCTCAGATATGAACATCTTCTGATGATTTGCATTTTCATTGCTGTGCATACATCAAAGGTTGGCTGGGAACATCAACTCATGAGAGATAAATGGGATGATTTGAAGTTGAAATTCTTCCAAATATCACTGACTTTGGATTGATATTCAGAGGCAGAAAAAATTATTTAATGTAGCAGTGAAATTTTCCTCTTGCAGGAAAGATTATGGCAGAAAAAATGAATTTCTTCCTATAATAGATAATGGAATGTATATGGATTGGACAATGTGCAGATTTGAGGACTCTCAAGAAGACCTACATTTCAGCATCTGCCCAAAAATATACCAATAAATAGCATGCACTTGTCCCATAAAATATCCCATAAAAGAGGCACAATAAAAGAATGATTCAGGTGCATGGAATCAATTATAATTTTTTAGATACTCTAGTGAGTTAACCGGGAAAAAAGCAGAAAGGCCTCTTTTCATCTATGCAAATTTTCTCAGATTCTTTCAGAATAAATTACAGAATCCGAAATATATTCACCTTCCTCAGTGCTGACTTGCCGCAGGTGCACCATGTCCCCCTTGTTCCCAATGATGGCAATGGGCAAGGGACTCTGGTTACTGCTGGTCACGCCTCCACTGCCAGTGCCCCCTGGCGACTGAAATGAGAATGAAGAGGAGAAGGAGGACAAGGAGGACGTGGACGTGGACGGTGACCCGCCATTGGCACAGGACTGGGGTCCAGCAACCCCTCGTTTCTCCACCAGGAACTGCTTGACTTGCTTGATGAAGCTGAAGCTGTTTCGGTCTGTGATGGAGTAGACCAGGACAAAACCATCTGCCCAGTTCACCAGGTCCATGTTGGGCATGTCACCTCCCCCTGGCTGCTGAGTGGGATACAAACTGATAATTAAAATTTACATTTTTTGACAATGATGTGATGAAAAGTCATTGCATGGAACTTTTAAATATTACCATGAGTTTCAGGTACTCATCATGAGTATGACATTCAACTTGATATGTTCCAAGATAATTTGATTTTTTAATTTGGCAAGTAAATGAAGCATGCAATTTTTCTCATCACCAGCATTTGTTTCATGCAGTCAGAATTTCCAGAGTCAAACTCAGTTAGATGAGTCAAACGCATCTCACATCCCATTAATACATGATGCTGTACCTATTTTAACCAATTCATGGCACTTGAGTAAAAAATTCATTCAACTCTCAAAGGTGTCTCAGTGGTGTAACTCCTGCAGCATAAAAAAATTAGTTTTTGCATCACCAGAGCACCTTCTCTTCTTATGTACAGCATTTAAAATGGATAGAAATCAGCTTAAGAAAGATTTAAAATTACTGAAATTCAATGAAGAGACACTTTCTGAAATCTTAAAGGATCAAGATACATTTTTGGCCTTATATGATTTCTCATCAAAGATTCTCTCTAAATTGTTCATTCAACTAAAACTCATACAAAAGCAGGCTGAAGACCTTGTGCTTTAAAAAAATTTTTACTTCTGCTTTGTCTTCAATATTGGGGGATGGGTGGGTGTATGCATATGTGTTGGAATTCCAGTTTTATTTTGTGGAGTGTGTTCTCTTTTGTTTTTGTCATTGGTTTGTGCTTTATTTCATGCTTTAAAGTGATTGAATGTCTTTGGGGGGAGTTGGGTTTGGTGGGGAGGGGGTTTGGATGCAGGAGTCTTGGTTGTGCCTTGTGAATGCTGAAAAGCGGCAAATAAAGGTTCATTCTTTCATTCAAAATACTTGCAGAGTGGGGAAGGGCCAAGTTGGATTTTATCCAGGCATAAGGAGTGACTGTTAAATTCCAGTCAGAGTTTTTCTGCAATGACTTTTAAACTGGGACACTGCATGAATCTTTTTGTAGCAAAGTGAAAAAAATGTTAAAACAAATTTTCCATGGATGGACTCATCCCTGAAGATTCCCTTTTCATTCCTGAATACGATTTTTCTGTGGAGACACAAGGATTTTTTCTAACTTTCTCCTGCACACACTGTCATAGTTTTTCAAAATCCAAGTCTGCAGAAAACCCAAAAATTTCAATAAAAAATAGTCTGGCAGTGCTGTAGAAGGGCTAAATCAGGATACTGCAGCATATGGCCATTGCATGGCTCACCAAGGAAATAATTAGGCATTTTGAAACGCGTTTTAAATGCATTTTTCAGCCAAATTTGCTACGCATTTCATGCCCCTCTATGTTATGCCTACTTGGGATTTTGAATACTGTGTTTCATGTAGGCATTTTGAAATGCCATACAGTTACAGATATGTATTTATCCAGACATAACTCAAGTTACGCCTGGATAGGATTGATTATAAGTCATTGCAAAAAAATTCTAACTGGAATTTAACAGTCACTTGTTATCCCTGGATAAAATCCACTGTATAGTGTGTATATAGTGTGTGTCTTGAACATGATCATTCAATGTTCATGTAAACATTGCTTGCAAGCAACATCAAATGATCATTGATTGTACATTGAATGATCATTGAATGTTCATCAAGTGTTCATCAAGCATTCATTGTTCAGCACAAAGAAAAATTTGGATTGCCCTCATTTTGGAGAACTTTTTTTTTAACACCCTTCTATCTTAATTATCAAACTTTTTAAAGATCTTCAAAGTTTTGGATAATTTTTTATGATAGATTTTTTTTAACAGTATATAACAATTCTTCAGAGCTGAATCCAGCTGCAAGAATAAGTTTGTTTCTGAATTTGTTAAAGCAATTTAATATTGAACATTGCTGAAATTTTTCATTCATCAGCAGAATAGTTTTTAAGAAAAAATATTGCTACAATTATTACATCAAGGCAGATGAAGATGTGATTTTTTAAGGATTGAAATGGAGGTGAGGATCATAGAAACTAAATTCATGAACTCCTTTTTTACCACACAAATATTCCAGCTCCTGGTTTTTTGAATGAATATGGAAATACCTCATTTAGTATAAGTAGCATAGCTATTCTCATTGGATCTAGCTTGTGAGTGCATAGGTAGATGTGAAAGTGACTGACTCTCACTCAGATGGCCCGAGTTTGAAACCCACAAGCATCATCAGAACAGCAGATTCAAAGCAAGGGAGCAGCAGCAGCAAAGAATATTGTGAACAGAAAGCGCACAGATGAAGTAAAGAAGAAAGAGGAAAGAGTATAATGCAAAGAAGGCGATATGAAGAAGTAAATAGCGGCAAAGGGAATGGGGAATTTTTTTTTTATGGCTGTCAGACATTGGCGAAATGCCATTGGCATTACCTTGGGAATGCATTTGGCATTGGCAATTGAACAGGAGGCAATATTTTCCTTTTTCATTGCCTTTCAAGCTGAACAGTTTCAACCCTGTTGGCAATGGGTTCCAAGCCTATTTCAAAATGCCCCCTGCCAACATTAGGGGGTGAGGCATTGAGTAAAGACCAAGATGACATTTCCACAATGGTCTTCCCATAATGGCATGAGAACCCCCTCCCAATGCATTTTGCATCATCAAATTTATTTGCTGGGTATAGATACAGGGTGTTGATCATGCCAAGAATGCGCAAAGTTGGTTCTGTTTACAGAGGTCTGATGTCATAATGAGCTGAATATATGTATAGCAGTGGTGCCCAACTCAGAAGTGGCCAAGGGCCACATTGAAGGAGAAGAGCATTATGCGGGCAACAATGGAAAAAAGGAAAAAATGTTGTCCAGTACATTGTATAATTCATGAATTTCTGGGATGGTTTAACTTTAAACTATTCTAATTTATAAGCAATCAAGTTCTAGTCTAATCAAGTTCAATAAGTATTTAAAGNATGTCTCCAAGTGTCCCTGTCACTAAATCACTGTGGCTCAAATTGGCCCTGTCTCAAATTGACCCTGACTCAAATTTTCCATCTCAATTGGCCCAATGTTGAATTGTCTTTCTAAATTTGTCCATATCCCTTCACATTTGCATTTTTACATGATGGTCTACTTTTTTCATGCTATTGAAAAAATTAAGCTGCTTTATATCTTTCCCTCATCAAGATATGCAATTAAATTAAAAACATGACAGAAAATGCTGGGGTAGGATATGAATTAAAAAATTGCAAAACCCTGTCCTTTAATCTGAAAAACAGAATGACTGACATCACAAAGCAATGCAAGCTGTTCTTTCTGGTTAGAAGGAATCATAACAGAATTTAAGAAGCCCTAATAAAATTCCTAATCAAAATTGCAGGCTGAAGACGTCTTGAAAAACTTGCAATTTTTCCTTTTTGAGGGTCAAAATATTTTGTGGAGATTTTCCATGCTGGCTCCGCGGGCCAGATGAAAAGCCTCTGCGGGACAGATCTGGCCCGCGGGCCGTATCTTGGGCACCACTGATGTATAGGGTTCCAACTGGCAGTGGACAGCGTTTACCAGACCAGGTTGTTGTAGTTGATGTCCAGAATGTGAGGCATTTGCCCGCAACCTGGTTATGTTGCGTGATCTGAGAGGTTAGTTTTGATTGATTTCCAGTAAGCGATTGGCACATTTTCCAATTCTTTTTCCAGACATTTGTCAACAGGTTTGGATGTGAAGTCAAAAGGTTCCTCCCATGGGACTTGTTTCAACTGTTGATGTCAGGAAAAGATTGAAACTCAAGGAAGAAAATTGCCCATCTAAACAGCGCCAGTCTAAATTAGTGCTAATCTTTGAATGCATTCTTCGAGAGCCTGAGAACTGAACCCTGGTGCAGTTCCCATGCTCACCCAAGGACAATATTTCTGATTTCAATGAAAGTGGCCAAGTCCAGCCTTTGAATCTTAATCCAGAAAGTTGTATTTGTAAATCAAAAACCTCCAAGTTATACATTCTGCAATTTGCTGCTAAACCAAACAGATCTCCAGGAGAGCCAAATTGTGTTTTACAAAGCCAATTCCAAAATTTACATCCTTCTCTGAAAGTATTGCAACTGTTTGTTGTTGCCTTTCTACAGCCTTCTGAAAAACTTCTGTGAATATACCACATTACACTGGGACAAAAAGTCCTGGCCCCAGCCCAGCTGTTTGACCCAAGTTTTATTCTCTCAATTGTGAATTTACTTAATCTTTTCTGTCATTTCATTTGAAGTAATAATAGCCATTTGCTAAAATTGAAATCCTAGCTTTCTAAAAAAAACTCATATTTGCCTGTGCAGTGGAAGCTCTTTTTCTTCACAGTTGTAGAATGGACGTGGCATTGGATTTTTAAGTTTACTTGGTATAATGAAACAAATTTGAATAATGGTTAATCGAAATTTATTTTACCTTCTACAAATAACTCTCTTGAAGTCCACTGGCGTTTTTTCCCTGGACAATGAACGTAGTACTTTTGAGTCCCAGCCATTTTGCTCAACTCTAATGAAAGATCTGATGGAAAAAATTAATTTACAATTCAAAATTATTCACAGTGGATGATTCAAAGAAATTCATGAGATTTCCAAGCATAAAAGCAAGAACTTTTGCAAGCCTTGCTCATGAACTTTTGCATCATTATATGTTTTTCGAATCAGAGACAATATATTTTTACACAAAATGCTGGTGAAGATGTTACCCTTTTTTGAATACAAGTGGAGTCTGTCCATGAAACTCTTGTTTGCTACAATTTTCTCTGGATAAAAAATACTTTTTGGTCACTTGACATTTGTTGTAGAGAGAATCAGCTTCTATATTTACATTATCCTGATGAGATCCAAAAATTGACATGCTTTCTGTAATTGTATGTCAATAATTTATTTGAAATGCTTTTCTAGAATACTGTACTTCGTTTTTTGAACGCCTGTGGGTTTTTATAATTGTCTGGGGCGTATGATAATTTTTTGATTTCAACCATTTTAATCGATTTTCTTGTTAAATGCATCAGAAAAATTTTCTGTATGCTTTTGTTCAACAAAGGAGCCCCCTTTGGATATGGCGCCTATATTTCCGTCGAATTGTACGTCCCTTCCCAAAAATTGTTGAAAATGATGCTTTGAAATTCTAGTCATGGATGCAAATATTTTTTTGTCGTGAAATGTTTTTCGAGCATTTAAAATGAAATCTTAAAACAAATATTTGATATCCTGTCAGAAAAAAAGTAACTTTCGAAGCAACGTGTATGTGACATTTTGTAAATTTCAGAATCTAAACCGTCATATGACGAGCCCAAAACTTGACTATATAGTGACACTGCATAAACCTTGGGGCAGGTGTTCAGTTTGCGTCGGAGACGAGGGAAGAGGGAAAAAACTTTGAATTTTGTCACACAGAGATGCTTTTCAGAAGTTTTAGAAATTTGTATTTTGGCTATCCACTTTTGCTTATTGGTAAAATGAGTCGTCATCACACACAAGTTGTAATAACGATTAATTTGATTTGAAAACGTCCCTTCACGTTTAGGCTATTAGGAAGATGCTCGAGACGAGATTCTGCATGATTTTTAGTCCTTTTTGATGATTATTTTTTCTTTAATCCTTTTGACACTGGAATTTATGACAAGAGCTTTCCATGCAAATGCACCATCATGGGTTCTAACCCGTTCTCTTCATTTCTCGTGTTGGTAGTTTTTTGTAGCCAATTAATGGATATTTTGCAATATGCGGAAATTTTCCACTTTTTCCCCGAAAATGTTTGGCACAGCGAAAAGTTCCCAGGGAAGCATTCATCTCTATTCTTAAGGCAAATGGGATTCACGGGGGGGGGGGGGGGTGTCAAAATTGAAAATTTTCAAAAACCATTCATCTTTGATCACGGCAACTCACTTGCAAACGCGCTCAAGGCGTGGGTTCCTTTGTGGATCAAATGAGTAGAAGCATACTTTTTTGGCCTGGAAAATCCGAACTAATTCCAGAAATTTATCCAGCTTAGCGGGGTAGTCTACTCTATACAGCATCATAAAAGTGGAATCTGTTGACGCAGACTTGGGGGACCAGCAGCCAGCACCAGGCAGAGGTGATGTGAGATTAGTTTTTTGCCAACCTCCAATGGTTTTTACATAACTTTCAGCAGGTTTTGCCAGCGTCACATTTTTTGGCAACAACAGAAACTGCGGCTGGAGTGATGATTCCATTCATTTTATTATTGACACATTTTGGAACAATATGCATATGATTTATGTATGAAAGCATTTTGGCAACGGTATCCCAGCAGTCTGCGTTCCAAAGAAAGCGATACCTATTTTTGCACTTTCTTATAGAAAAAACATAAAAAATGTCAGCATCTGCGTCTAAAACTGGATGATGGTATTTTGCATGGAAGAGTTCCTGATCGACAGATTCGAGGGCGTTCACTGTACAGTGTACACTGTTAAAAATGGAAAGAAAAATATACATGTTCCTTCAGGAGGAAAAAAAAATTCATTTTCTTTGCATTTCAAATGTTGCATATAAGCCGCGCGTGCATATAACAATCCCCAAGGATACCTTCAATCGTTTTTTTTTTTGCCGTTCTTCAAAAGAGAACTAAAATGATACGCGATTTTCACCCAAAAGTCACATAGAAAAAATAAGCATCAAAACGTTTGAGAACCTCCAGAAATATTTTCAGTTCAATATATACGTGCGAACTATAGGAATACAAATCTTCCTGAATAGGAGGAATCAATTAAGGACTTTTTTAATATGATGATCAAATGTCCTCTGTCAAAACACGCGGTTTTTGACCCTTTGGAGTGAATACCATTATGGTATTCTTGAACCAGCCCAAAAAGGCATTGGCTCGAAGCTGGTGCCAAATCTCTGGATGCGGAAGAAATCCGTGTGCTTCCATAATCGCGATGATGACGTCGTTGTTCCGTAAGTTCACGTGCCTTCGACCGGATTGGCCCTCAATTGCCCATGACAACACAATTCCCTCTTTGGCGTGTCTAATTAGATTGCCGATGTAATTTTCCTCGTATTCTCGAGGGATGTGTTCGCCAACTTCCATGCTCATCACCCAGTCGAACCTCTGACCAATGTATCCCGGTTTGCTGAGGTCCATCTGGCGCACCAAACCACCAGTCAACTTGTGGATCCCAGGAATCCCGTCGAAGCCAGTCCAGGACTGGATCTGCGGTTTGGTTGAGTCCCACCAATCTTTCAAGCCCCTCAGGTGTCTGAGAACAGCATAGGATAGGATGATGATTGTGTACAAGCAACCCTTGATTTTTTGCCACCCAGGCATGGTGCCATCAAGTTCCATTAAACAAACTTCTCCACTGTGTTCCTCAAGGCAAACCCCAATTTCACAACCAACCCACGTACTCATAGTACCATGAAAGACCTTGCCATTGATGAAAAATGCAACAAAATGGAAGAAATTAAGGCTTTTTTCTAAGGATATGATTTTTGGGTTACAAATTGAGAATTGAAAATGACATAACAATGCTCAGTTGCTCACATAGAAATGCAGGATAATTTTGAAAATGTTATTCCTAGGGGAGGGTGCCCAGCCACACCTGTGCATTGGACACATTTCAGTTGTGAACATTTTGATCAGATCACACATGGAAGAGAGCGTGCCCAGTTGTGTGGCCAGTCACACCCCTGTGCATTAAATTTTAAAAAATGTATGATACTAAAGCTGGTTATGTATTGTTAATGAACCACTGGCAATTTTGCATTTGTACTCAATTCACATAAGCAGGGGAATTTTATTCCTTATTACAAAACCAAGGTAATGGGGTGCACAGCTACACCTGATTCAGTGTAAACCCCTAAAACTGCAAAATACCTAAAAATAGCTCAGTAGATGACTCAGTATAATAGCCTATATTTAGGATTGTGTAATGTGCACAAAATGAAAAAAAGTAATGAGGGTTTCACAGAGAACTTTTTTATTCTAAAAGATTCAAAATAAGAATTGTAAACAAAAATGTTGAGCATTTTGTTGAAAATGTATTTTTCTTGCATGATACCTTCCTTCATTTAAAAAATTTAGGCTTTTCTGGAAACATGCAATACTTTGATCTCAATGCTGTGAAATTATATATACTCCAGCTTTATGTTACATTTTTCAGAATCGATCTAGAGACCCTTGCAATTATTCTCAAGAAGCCTTGCATCATTTTGGCAAGACTTTTTCAAATATTCAATCATTTAGTTGATTGATCAATTTTTGTTGTGAAAATTTATACACTGTATCTATATGTACAGATGTGTCATCCTAGTTCATCCTATCTCATTTTCTAGTAAAGACAAGACAGAATTGAAAGTAAAGTTTAGGCATGCATCAATAAATGTACAAATGCATCTGAAAAGATCCATAGATCATGTAAAGGAACAATTCCCACTCGATCAATTTTTCAAGGAATATTTTTGATCTTCAAAAAATTGCGTTATTTTACGGAAGTACAGTACCTGAATTCCAGTCATCCATAGTGGGCAATCGTTTCGAGGAAAATACATGCAGGTAAGCGCGAGTATACTTACAGACCTGTAAAAGAACTGTAAAGGGCTTCTCCAATGAAACCTTCCTTCTTATTTGCACACATTTATATTTTAGAGGACGTTTCGCAAATTTGTTGTTTCTGTACTCACTTGGTAAAAAAATCCGCTGGCGCATTCGGGAGCCGGTAACTTCGAAGTCGCAAGAAGCAAATCCCGTAGAGACCAACTCCGCAACCCAGGTCCACCACCGATTTATTCTTGAACAAAAGGTTCTCTAAACTTTTGCACAGATAGGGGTCCAGGTTGTGGGAGTTGGCAGTTTCCGTTGGTTTCAAAACATAACCGCCTCGTTCAAGCTCCGTTTGTCCTTCAAATTTGAGATGGTTTTAAAAATGCGTTCGATCATCTTTTGGCAATTCAAAAATATGAAAGTTCATTCGTTCACTCTCCAAACGTTAATTCTGCAACAATTGTGAAAACTCTGAACCTTATTCCCTTTTTGAATAAGAATGGCAAAAAGCTTTACTAGAAAGCGTAACCCCTGAAGGACCTGTCATTTCAGACCAGCTGATGCCTATCATTTCATCTATAGTAGTCATGGTGAGAAGCTTGCCCCTCACCTCCCAGAAAGGGTGAGTGGGGCATCCCCAACTACTGTAGTTGGTTTGAGAACTGCAAGAAAAGCTCATGGGTCCCTCTGTTTTTTGCACGTCCTATAATCTCAACCAGGTTAGAGTATTTTGTTCCGCATAGTTTAGAATTCCTGACTTTTGGAAGAATGAAAATGAAAAGGCATTCTTTAATGCTAAGAACAATGTGAATGTCCAATTTGTAAAAATCCCAAGGGTTGGATATCCAGCCATTCTCAGTTTTTCAAAACTTTGGCATTCTCAGAGTCTAATACGAATGCCCAATCCCTCACCCAAGAAATTGCGTTTTCTCCAGTGAGCCATCCCAATTTACAATTTCCAGGGTCCCTATATAAATGCCAGGTATTTTGAAATAGGTTTTCATGCATTTTCCATTTAAATATTCCTTCCTCCTAAATTGATTTTTAAGTTCATTAATCTCACAAAAATTGTGAGTAGCTTCAAAATTCTTCATTGAACACTATTATAATATCTTTTTGACATGACTCTTCTGCATTTTGAGACTGTGGAACCACAAGTTTTGTTGCATGTTGGCATGGCTAGATTTGTTGTTATATTAAACCCTGGTCATTGGTTGTATGTGTGTGGGTTTGAACCTTGTGTTCAAAAAAAAATTTCCATGTGCTATGATGTGTCTGGCATTGATGTTGATTTTTGTGCATTTGTGAATGTATGATTTTCAGTGTGATATGACTGATATCTGTAATATTTGTGATTTCAATCTGTCAGGAAATGCGTTTCATTAAAATATTCAAAGCAGTACAGTGTAAAACCACTTGTTGTACATCCAACATTGAGCATTTTGAAATCTAGAAGTAACCAGCATACAAAATGCAGACTAGACACAGGTCTGCTTTTTTTAAAGTTGTACATTTCAAATATGTCATACCCTGGATGTCCTACTTTTAAAGATGAAATATATTTAGAATCCCAGCCCATGGGAAACCTAGATCTTTTGGGTTGTGTGAAACTTTTGCCAGCCCAGGGAAAACTGGGTGGGTCAATGCCCTCCATGATGCCTGCATGGTGCATGCATACAAAAGCCCTCCTGCTTTTTCTTGGGTTGAACTAGGAGTGCTGGGGAGGGTTATTGTTAATCGCAATCGAAATTTTAATTGCACAATTGAAATTGCTATTTGTGATAAAACTTTTTGCACAATGAAAATTGCCATTGCTGCTAAACATTGAAATTGTTGCCCAATTGCAATTGCAATGGAATTTTCAGTTTTTGCCACTATTACAATTGCAAGTGTTAGCCAATCAGATGTTGACTGGATCGACATGTCCAGGTTAGGCATGAGTGTTCTTGATATACATTGGCAAGTTGTTTACTGAGTTATGGTCTTTGAGAAATTTTTCAGTTTTGTTTGTCTTGATATAGGGAAAGTTTTTGTTTTGTGAAGATCTTGGTTTGACATTTCTTTCTTTGCATAAAAGTAAAAGTAGTTTTTTTATGTAAAACTAATGGACAAACACAAAAAGAAAAAATGGTTTTGTTGAAAAAGGTAGGTGATGCGTAAATCAGTCTTGAAGTAGTTGATTGATTGCGTGATCTTGCCCAGCAAATAATCAGCCGTTTTCCAGCCAGGCGTGAAGACCCAGGCAAAAATCACCCATCAAACACCCGTTTTTCATGGGTGCATGGATACCCAGCAAATAATGGGGTGTTGTCTAAGATTTTCCTAATAGAGATTAGAACAAATCAGACAAAGTCAAAAGTGTGGCTCAATACTTCTATTCACTCTTTCACAACACATCCATTCATTGCCAAATATACAATACAAGCACACACTTCGGAATAGTCAACATTCAACATGAAT